AATGATAATAAAAAAAAGCCCCGTATAAGAGTTCCAGATTAGAAAATATTTTTACAAAATTGATTAAAGGAATATAAAAATTTATGAATTATTCCATTCTAAATCTAACAATCAAAATTTTACAAATACTTTTAGTATCTCAAAAGTGTTATATTTTGGATTAATATGATCATGTGCAGGTGATGCAATTTTTGACTTATTTCTTGTTATGCCCAAAGTACCCTTTTGTCTAATAATCAAAGTTGTTTCATTTCTGTTATAATACTAATAATATAAATGAAATGTTACCAACCGATTCAAAAATGTTAGTAATTAAAATGAAAACTGAAACCTTACCAACTAATTCAATAATGTTAGGAATCAAGATGAAATTTTTCCACTTAAAATTATGTCCGGTTATTTCTTGTACTTAAAACCTCTTGCTCAAAGCAATGGTAAAATATTAAATAGCCACAATTTTAAGGTAGTTGAATATCAATGTCAAAATATACATGCTCTTATGACAACTAAAAACATGCTATTAGAGTAGGATTAATCAACGCTGAGTTAATTCGTATTTTGTACATTAAATAGTTAATCTAAACTTCCGAAATAATAGCTTGAATGAAAAATAAAGACTTGAAAAATCTTGGCTTGCACAAAATAGAGACTAGGATTAATTTAGAAATGCTTTTATTAAGAAATTGATCCATGATTGCAAATAAAGTACTTGTCTGAGATCGTGGTCTAGTCAAAATTCCTAGAGCAAAAGAGTAAAAAAGAGAACTCGGTGAATATCACTAGAAAAAAGGGTCTCCGCATTCATGATTAATGAGGCAACCTATAGGAAAAAAAAAAAAAAAAAAGGTCGCCGTATTACTGATCAATGCGGCAACAATTACCTGACAATTAAAAAAAAAACATATTTCACAGTCGTCACGTGTGGCGACCATGAAATTTTCTGAAAAATATCCTTTTAAAACAAGAAAAAGAAATGAAAAGTATACTTTGTTGTCGCAGTAATTTTCAAAATGCAGCGATTCTAAGTGGAGGAAACAGCTCTGCACAATACCAAAATTGAGATTTTTTTTTGAATTTAACAATATTTCTAAAAAGTCGCGACTATATGGTTTCATAATTGAGTTGGTAATTTCAATGGCTGCCTTTAGAGTTCATTGCAAATGCGTTACAATAATTACCTGTCATTAACATTGTAAAGTATTTGTTAGCAATGCACTTTTAGGGTTTTAAAAAGGAAACAACATACGCGTTTAGGGTGTAAAGAGGAAAAGATGGGGCAAAAGAGGATTCTTTATTTTGCCCAAACAAGAAGAATATGCAATGAACACATCAGCTCACAATTGTGGCCAACGAGGTGGATTAATCTTATAAAGTATGATTATATTTATAGTAACATATTGGCATTCTTTTCCCGATAATTTTGAAACATTCAATACTTGAATAATGTAAAATATGATTGATTTCAGACTAACTTACAAATGTTCTTTCTTTGGCATATTCATTCAGTTTAAAGTACTCAATACCGAAATCAACATTATGTATATAGAACAGTATACATTGAAAACCACCCTACTCAGTGACCGAATAATATACTTATGCACTAGACGATTACAAATTTATTGTCAGGCTTAAGAAACAACTTGAATTGAAAATTTTATTAACTTTTATATACCACCTTCTTGTATGCCATCAGCTAATTTTGTAGAAATTTTTTTTGACAACTACCATGCAAACAGAGCCTAAAATATAGGGATAATTTTAGAAACCTCTATTTCACTAGTCTCCCTCCAAGTTTCGAAAATTACACTAACCTCTCTTGAGGTTAATTATCTTGTAACATTTAAACCCAATCAATACTAAAAATAATGTAATTTCATCATTGCCTCTTATCTGCTACATTATTTAATTAATTTAATAGCATCCCACACATTAAAGAAAAATATTAAAATTTGTTGTTTATCATTAGGAATCAAGTTGCATATAACATCAAAAAATAGTATATTATTTTATATTTTTCATTTAATACAAGATCCAAATTACTCTTTTTAGTTATATACCCATTGTCAACTATGATCAACAACAAATAATCAAAAAATTTGTAACCAAAATATTATAGAGAACAAATTTAATATCATAAATATTCTTGTCAACACATTAAAGTTAGCTGCTATGATTTTTATGATATTAAAGTTCGTTCTTTGTAATATTTTGATTACAGATTTTTTTATTATTTGTTATTGATCATGTTTGACAATGGATTTATAACTGAAAAAAGCAATTTGAATCTTACATTAAATAAAACATATTTAATGATATATTATTTTTGATGCCATATTTGACTTAATCTTTGATAATAAACAACATTTTTTAGTATTTTCTTTAATGTATGGGTTAGTATTAGATTAATTAAACAATTTAATAGATGAGGGGCAATGGCATAATAATATTATTTTCTCTCTTCTAATATCATTTTTTAATTATTAGTTAGATCTAGATGTTACAAGATAATAAATCTCAAGAAAGGTTAATATAATTTTTAAAACTTGGAGGAAGCCTTCTGAAATAGTCAGAAACCTTAGGGGAGGTTTCTGAAATTATCCCGAAATGTATATAGCAATTTGACTGATGATACTATGAATAAAATAGGAGTATATTACACGGCATACACTTTCTGTGTCACTTTAAGTTGCAACTATTATAGCTTTTTCAAAGTTATTCTCAAAATTAACTATATTAAGCTTTCTTCTTTTTTCAGGGCTTTTTTTTTTAATTCAAATTAAAAGAACTTTTAACAGCATAGCTAGTTTCTTATTCATAAAGCAAACACATAGAATGTGCAAAAATCATTATAAGAATAATTGTCATGCGAAACTATTATCTTCGGAAGATTATGTTGACTGAAACGACTTTTAGTTTGAAAGTAGCAAACAAATGCATGATATTTCCAAAACCAAACGTAAGATTTCTCGACAATTTAAAAAAATGTTCAAAAAGCATGTTTGATGAAGTAACCTAAAATATTATAAAATCATGTCGGTATCCATTTGGTAGCATGGTACTAACACTTTGCTCTGGTGGCGGAGTCAAAAAAAATTTTCAGTAGGGGCAAAAACAATATTACAATTTTTTACCTACTATTTTTTTTAGTTTTTTAAGCAAAAAAAAAATTCACTAATAGGTACAAATGATGCATATATTCCATGAAAAACATAAAGAGACAAACTCAATAATTTTATTTCAAAAAACAAACTAAACCATTTACAATTGCTCACGATGAGTTTTCATATTTTGATAATGGTTTACAACTTTCTCTTTTTGAACTTCACGAAATATATTTTTCTCAATGAAAGTAACTAAATAATCACTCATCCAAGTGTCTCCCATTCTATTTCATAACCGATTAAAATATTAATCAAATTTAAAAAGAAATTAAAATCAATATGTAAGACACTAATCAAATTAAAATATTAAATAGACAATAAAATCTATCCAAGAACTATTTCACAAGTTAAAGTTATTTATTAAATGACTTATTTATTCATTACTGGATCCAATCATTAATCCCAACATATGAACCTAATCAAGTTAATTAGACAAAAGGATCCATACAAGAATAATTTGAAAGTTAAAATATATGTCAAATGGCCCTCTATTCATCATTACATTAACTCCAACATAAGAAACTAATCAATGCAAATAAAAAATAAATTATAAATCCATAAAAGCACCATTTCACAAGTTAAAATATTTATCAAATAATCCATTTACTAGTTATTACATTAACTAATTAGTTTTCAAATTTCTTTAGAATAGTAATAGCCTCATGTTCTAGAAATATATTTGCAAACAAATTCAAAATAATAATAATAATAAGTAATTGTTTAGAACTTGATTTTGATGATCTCCTAAAGTTGGTGAAAAGTTTAGAAAAGAGTTGCAACAATCAGTGGCGGACCCAGATGATTAACTAATTTTGGTGCAATCTCTGAATCAAATGAAGTGATCAAGAGGAAGAGCAGCTAGCTTGGTTGTGGAACGAAGAGTGGCTCTCAGTTGGGGTGGGGGGGGGGAGGAAATGGGGGACAGGAGGAGGAAAAGAAAACTAGGGAGTTGGGACCAAAGAAAGTGAATGATATGATTGGTACTTGATAGTTGAGATAAAAAGTTTTTTTTTTTTTAACTAACTTCAAATGAAAGTTTGTGCCACACATATCCTTTTAGAATTGGAATAATTTTATAAACCTCCCCTGAAATTTTTAACAATTACAAAAAGCTCCCCTTAAATTTTAAAAATTACATATATCTCCCATACTTTTACTGTTAACAATATAGATCCAATAAGAAAGATTTTCTCACAAAAATCCTAAATTACCCTTTTGTACAAAAGTAAGAAAGAAAAATATAGTATACTCAATCATTTTCTTCCACACTTAATCCCTAACAACTATCCAAGCATAAGTTCTGGAAGATGCTACTCCTCCACACAAACTTATTAGCTTCTTGAATAATTCTTGGAGGAGAATTAATAGGTTTCTTCAAGTTGTATCAGAGTTTCACCATCCCTGGCCTTCGAGTCATTACAACCTCCAGACTGCAATATATTTGAGCTCTAATTCTAAAAAATGCAAAATATGTCGAAATTTCAGCTTCTTTCAAAAAATGCAGTATCTTCGCCAAAATTCAGGGAAAGACAAAACCGGCGGAGTGCAGGGAAACCATGCAACCATCCCTTTCATCTGAATCTAATCTTCCCAATTCACGAGGAAATTTGTTGACTGCTATTTTTTTTTTTTTTTTTTTAAAAAGAACCAGAGAAATGAATCCAGACACCATGATATAATATAGCACTCTCCCTGTAAAAATAAAAAGAATAAACTCCCAAACTATTTTTAATAATGAGAAGACAGCTTTCAAAATCACACAAAACATAGATTCTCACCAAGACAAGGATTACAAAGACAGAACTGAGAAAGATGGAGGAAAGAAATGCAAATGCAATGGTCTATAATCTATTATTTTTGTATAAACTGGTTTCACTACTGAAAAGTGAAAGCAAAACCATATGTGTTAGAAGAGTAGTAATGCAATCCCCGCCTTTTAACACACTAATATTACTTCAAGCAATGGCTTAATATTGCTTTCAAAGAGGTTGCGAATGGTACATTGCAACATCCTGTACAAAAATGGGGGCCTCTTCTTTCTTCTCTCCCCCAAAATTTTACCTCCTCCCTACCGTCAGTTCATCCTGCTCATACCTTTTACTTTTGCCATCATCACTTCATCATTACAGAGAAGTATCGTACATTAAAGAAAAAGGAGACAAAAAAAAATGAAAAACTGAAGAAGATCTAATAATCTGCTTATTTATCATGGAAAAACCTTAATTGTGTATATATTGCTTTCATGGTTCTGCGTCCTCGATCTTACCAAAAGCTCACGCTCTTTTGGTGGAGGCTATATAGCTCATGCTTTCTTAGAGGTGTTTTCGCTCCCCTCCAGTGGAGAATAGCAGGCTCTGCTTCACCAGTCTTATATGCAGAGGTCACTTAATTGTCTGCTGCACCTTGGCCTCTTAGCTTCACTGAAACAACACTTGACTGGCTATATTCCATGTTCTTTGTAGCTGGATGGCTCCACTATGGTTGGTTCTAGCATTCAGAAATTACTTACAAATCAAAAGCAAAGGGAACAAAAAGAAAATATTCATAGTGCAATAAATTGCAGATATGATATGGTATATACAGAAGAATAGCAACCTTAAGTATTAATTACTCACCCTCTTTTTACTCCCTCCAAGCTAAAGATTGACTGAAAACTGATTGCACAAATATAAGTAATTATAACAAGCATTCATATGTAACCACAACCATCCATGGGGCCTCAAAGTTCAAATCGAAAGCAAGACAATGGTCTAAAAAGTTTTTACGCTTGTAAATTGGGTGCTTGGTTCCATTTAGAAATTGAAATGAAAGTAAAAATTTTATCCTACTTAAAAGAAAATCCTCCAAATTATAAAAGTCTGAAACTTTTCTGTAATTTCAAAATCACAAACTATATTTTCAGATGTAGTTTCATTTCATGTTTCCAATAAATTCAAACATTACATGCAAGCCAAAGTACCAAAACCCATCGAAAAAGAAGAAAAAGGCCTGCACAAGTTACCTCTAAAGTGATATGCCACATAGAGGTTCTCCATGAAAGGATAAACAAGAAGTCTCTCAGAAGAAGTGTTAGCAATCCAATTAACAGCAGCAGATTTCTGAAAACTGCAACACTTATCAATTGAACTTTCCGAGGGACTGTGGCTTCTTCACCAGGACTCAAGATCTTTGAGAGATTCCACAAAATATGACCAACATAGCTCCTCCAAAGCCCAGTTCAAAAGTGAACTCAAATAATGTTAGTTCCAGCAAATTATAGTTTAGAGGCCAAACATTAGCTGGATCAACAAGTTGCAACTAATGTGAAGGTTGTCTATATCCCGCATCCCTGAACTTCATGCTGTCTGGATCAATCTTCAGCATCGACACAAGTAGAGAAGGATTGTTCTGTTTTCCAGCAGATGAATCAAGCAAAATGGAAAAAGTAGTTGAATCCATCAAGAAACCTTTACGAACCATTTCTTCGTGATAGACTATTGCGTCATCATAATGGCCCCCTTTAAGGAGTTCCTGCAGAATTACATTGTACATAACACTATCTGCCTGGCAACCACTCTCTTCCATTTTCTCAAAAAGCTCTTTAGCTTCAGTGATGAAGCCTTCCGAAAGCAGGCCAGCAATCATTATGGTGTATGTTTTGACATCAGGGTCCAATCCTTTGAGGGAGAGCTTATTGAAAAGATCTCGAGCACTATCAGCCTACTGCTTTTGCGCAATCCATCAAGGATAATATTGTACATTCTTATACAAAGATCTATTCCATCTGCTTCCATCGCGTGGAATAATTGTAATGCTTCGTCGACATGTCCAGTCTTGCACAATCCATCCAACACCACACAGTAAGTGTAAAAATCAGGCTTCATGCCAGCAGCTTGCATCTCATCGAAAATTTTTCGTGCACTAAGGTACCTTCCTGCACTAAATAACCCCTGCAGAACAGTGTTATAAACAGAGATATCAGGAGTTAAACCTTTATGTCGAATCTCATGGAAGAGATTCATGGCTGCTTCCACTTTCCTGCTCTTGAAATAGGCATTTAGTAGAATAGCGTAGCTACGGAGAGTAGGAGTAAGGCTGCCAGCAACCATTGTATCAAAAACTCTCTTTGCTTCATCTATTCGGCGCTGTAAACAGTATCCATCCATTAAGGAATTGTAGGTGACAGGGTCGGGATTCTGACCTCGCTGAATCATGACACTTACGACCTGTTCAGCATCTTCTATATGTCCTTCCTTGCACAGTGCATCCACCACTATATTAAAAGTAGAGACATCTAGAACAATTTTATAATCCTTCATCTCAGAGAAGAGCTCTTTAGCCTCCTTCCATTTGCTTAAATTGCACAAACCCTGAATCAAAGAATTGTAAGTGACAACATTTGGGGGTATGCTCTTTTCAATCATCTCCTGGAAGAGGGCAAGAGCTTCATCGACCATTTTATCCTTGCACAAGCTGTCAATGATAGTGCTGTACACAACTGTATTAGGTTTACAAGATCTTCCTTGTTTTTCCAGTGCTCTGAGCAAGTCGATGGCTGTTCGAGTGTTTCCCTCTTCACAAAGTCCATGTATCACAATCCCAAATGTAAATTCATTCGGCTCACAAAGCTTTTCATATATTATCTTTTTGAACAATTCTTGTGCCTGGGGAACCTTATGTTCTTGAAAGAGTCCTTTGAGTAGAGTATTGAATGTGAATACATTGGGCATAATGCCACGCTTAAAGAAGCCAGCCAACACAGTAAACCCCAAATCCACTCGGCCCACGAGGCAATAACAATTAATCACTATAGTAAGGGTGTACTCATCAACAGGAATGCCCTTGACACACATATCTCTAAAAAGGGAAATAACTGAAGAATAATGATTCTTCATCTTAACAATACGGTCCATCAATTGAGTGAAATCAATAACGGAAGGCAGAGGACTCATCCGAGCCATCTGCTTGTATAAGCTCAGAGCATCATCAAGACTGTTTATATTAATAATATCATTCCTCAATTCCGATTGTAATTTCAGAGCTTTTCCAGAAGACGACCTAGTTTTACTGCTACTAGCAGAGTAAAAAGCTAATTGAGGTTTAGGGCTTGGGAATGCAGAGAGAAATAAAGCAAGAGCAGTACAACCAACTGTAGCAGCAGTACCTAACGAAGCAGCTGCTTCCTCAGACTGAGCAATGGAAGCAATCACCGCAGAAGAAGCTCTTCTCTTCATCATCATCATCATCGTCTTCTGGTCTGAAATGAATTAATCACTGGGATTTTTCGTGCAAAATCTGAAGCTGGGTTGTTGAATTGTATTTTCAGAGCTAACTTTTATCGCTTTTTCTCAGTTTCGACGTCGTCACAGTATCGGACGTTAACCATTTTTTTTTTTTTTAATTTTTTTAAGGGATAATTTCAGAAACCTCCCTGAGGGTTTGCCTTAATATCACTTAATACCCTAATGGTTTTAAAAAAAAATCCCTCTTACCTCCCCTTGATTGTCACCCCTTGTGCGTTAAAAAATTCAAAGTCAGTGGAGAGATAACAATTTACTTCCATTTGTAACATTGTCACACCTTGTGTGAATTTTAGTTATTCATTTTGGGGTTTTTAGTATGGTAATATTGATAATTTATCACACATTTTGTTTTATCAATCTAATATGATAGAGGAAATAAGAGAGATTTTTGAAATTATAGAAGTACTAAGGGATATTAAATCCAACCTTAGGAATGGTTTGTGAAATTATCCCTTATTTAATTGCTATCTTGTAAAGGCGAGAGGGATGCATGTAGTTATCGAACTCGATATTACTGAATTATAGTTGGTAACGATGATATTGTTGTTATTAATATAAGAAATGCCACCCTATGTTCTTACTGATTTGGAAAAATTACTATGATTTACCATTTGATATTACAGTGCAAATGGCAATGAGAGTTTGTATAGTTAAGACGAAAATATGAAATTACGGTGATGAATTTTGTATTTAATTATTGCGCTGTAACTTCTCTACTTTTATTAGTTTTTTTTTTAATTTCAACTGTAATTTTGAGTTATATTGTAACGTTAATGATAATGATTTAAGATGAATGGTGAGGATTAATTAGAAGCAGCAAAACTTTCTTTTTACCTATTACTCTAGAATAGATTTGGGTCAAAAGGCCTCGAATCCAACGTTACCACAATTATCAGCTTGCATTTTTCAAGATTCACCCGTCAACTATATGGGGCAATTTTCTAAGAATATTGTTTAATTCAAAAACTATCTCAATTTTGGTGTTGTATGGGAGTTAATTCTCTCTTTTCGATTGCTGCATTTCGAATATGTGGCTACCGCGAAAAAATATTTTCATTTCCATTTTTGTTCATGTCAGACGGACTAAAAAAAATGTTTGTTTTTGCAACGAAATTGAGCTGTCCTCACATCCACATTTTTATAACGAAATTGGATGCTGCACAGACGTGTCAACAACGGACAAGGGGCTGCAACCGTCCTCAACGGTTTTGGACATTTTTAACGGCGCGTAATTTTGGTTGCACACGGTGTAATTTTATTTGCACAACGTGTAACTTTAATACAAAATTTTGTAAGTCCCACACATGGTGTGAAAATCAATGCACAACTTATGATTTGGACCGCATAATTTATTGAGGCCAAATCATGGCCATTAACAAATCATGACCGCTCCTGCCCCGTTTCCGTCAAGAACACAAACGAGTAGCAGCAGTTGCCTTGCACAAATGAACGGAATTGTATGGAAATGATAGAATAATGGTCTATGTGTTTCTTCTCATCGTGATTTCATCATTCTCATTATGGTGATTTCACCATTCTCATTGTAACTTCTTTTCTTGTAAAAAGATTGTTTCGTGTGAACGAGCTTCTTTTCTTGAAATTATGCATAACAAAGATTAATATCTACCATTAATCTTAGCTGAGGCTAATTAATAGTAGAGAGCAACACGTTTAATTTAGCATCTAAGAAATATCCACAAAATTATTCTTAGTAAATTAAGAAAACTTTAAGAAGTCATTCAAATGAATAATTGTTAGATTAGTATAAGTATGTACATTTCTTGCAGAGAATCAATATTTGTGTATCAGATTTTAGTCATGATTTACCTAAAAAGAGAAGTACCCTTTTGTCTAATAATCAAAGTTGTTTCATTTCTGTTATAATGCTAATTATATAAATGAAATGTTACCGACCGATTCAAAAATGTTAGTAATTAAAATGAAAACTGAAACATTACCGACTAATTCCATTTAAAATTATTTACCATCCTTTACACTCTATCACCCATTATTTCTTGTGCTTAAAACCTCTTGCTCAAAGCAATGGTAAAATATTAAATAGCCACAGTTTTAAGATAGTCCAATATCAATGTCAAAATATACATGCTCTTGTGACAACTGAAAACATGCTATCAGAGTAGGATTAATCAAAGCTGAGCTAATTCGTATTTTGTACATTAAATAGTTAATCTAAACTTCTGAAATAATAACTTGAATGAAAAATAGAGACTTGAAAATTCTTGGCTTGCACAAAATAGAGACCGGGATTAATTTAGAAATGCTTTTATCAAGAAATTGATCCATGCTTGCAATTAAAGTACTTGTTTGAGATCGTGGTCTGGTCAAGATTCCTAGACCAAAAAAGTAAAATAAAGAACTTGGTGAATATCACTAGACCAAAAAAGGTCGCCGCATTAGTGATTAATTTCATGACAATAAAAAAAACATATTTCACAGTCGTCACATGTGGCGACCATGAAATTTTCTGAAAAATATCCTTTTAAAACAAGAAAAAGAAATGAAAAGTATACTTTGTTGTCACAGTAATTTTCAAAATGCAGCGATTCTAAGTGGAGGAAACAGCTCTGCACAACGCCAAAATTGAGATTTTTTTTTAATTTAACAATATTTCTAAAAATTCGCCACTATATGGTTTCAGAATTGAGATGGTAATTTCAATGGATGCCTTTAGAGTTCATTGCAAATGCGTTACAATAATTACCTGTCATTAACATTGTAAAGTATTTGTTAGCAATGCACTTTTAGGGTTTTAAAAAGGAAACAACATACGCGTTTAGGGTGTAAAGAGGAAAAGATGGGGCAAAAGAGGATTCTTTATTTTGCCCAAACAAGAAGAATATGCAATGAACACAGCAACTCACAATTGTAGCCAACGAGGTGGATTAATCTTATACAGCATGATTAGATTTATGGTAACATATTGGCATTCTTTTCTAGGAATTCTCGATAATCTTGAAACATTCAATACTTGAATCATGTAAAATATGATTGATTTCAGACTTACAAATGTTCTTTCTTTGGCATATTCATTGAGTTTAAAGTATTCAAAATTGAAATCAACATTATATGTATATAGAACAGTATACACTGAAAACCACCCAACTCAATGACCGAATAGTATACTTATGCATAGAGGTGTCAAAATGGGTGACTTGGACGGGTTTGGGTTGGGTAAAATGGGTAATGGGTATAGGTGAGTCAATCCATTTATACCCATTTAATTAGATGTGTATAAATGGATAAGTCAAAAAATGAATTGGGTAACCCAATTACCCATTTACAACCCATTTATTTTAATTTTTTGTAAATTCATTTAAATTCATTTTTGCAAACTAAGTTATCAATTTATACCACTCTTTGTACCCATCATTAGTTTTAAATATTTACTTATAATGCTCAATAAGCCTAATTACCAATTTTTTTTCATTTATACTCTATTTCACAAAATTACATATTATTTAATAATTGAATAATAACAATATAAAAATTTGAACTAAGTACTATAAAAGTTAATATAAAAATTTAATCCAAAAATTTTGAACCCCTAACATTTTTTCCATATATAAATTTAAATTTTCATTTTAGAAAGATAAGAAAAGAGGCTCAAATTTATCATAAATTGGTAATGCCGAAAAATGAGCAAGTTAACAAACTAAGAGAAAATAAAATAATAAAATAAAACCAACAAATAATAATAATAATGAAACAAAAGTAGTTAACATCATGACGAAATGAAAAATTTGAAAAAAAAAAATGGGTGGGGGAAAAGAAGAGATTTAGGGGAAGAGAATTCTAAATAGGTTAATTGGGTTTGATGGGTTACCCAATAATACCTATTTATTAAATGGGTATTATTGAGTAACCCATTTATACCCATATACAAAAGTTTAAGATATCCATACCCATCTATTCATGGGCGGGTATGGGTAAATTTAGTTAAGTGGGTTGATTTGCTACCTCTACTTATGCACCAGACAGTTACAAGTTTATTATCAAGCTTAAGAAACAACTTCAATTGAAACTTTTATTAACTTTTACTAGTAAGGGTTGATGTGCCCGCCTTGAATCGTTTAAGGTTAGTAAAATTTGATGAAATGTTTGTTAGTAGAGTATCATGTGTGAAAGTATGTAAAGTATGTATATTACTGAAATGGAGAGAAATTGGATATCAGTATTTAAATTTGAACAAATGAACTTTGTCATTTTTTTGTCAATTTTCTTTTGAGTGATTAATACATTAATATTTAATTAAAACATGAGTCATTAATGCTAACTGAAATTACCACCAAGTATAGCATGCAAATTTGATGAGAAAAATATATATGTATTTATTACATTTCATTAAGATGCTTTTTTTTCCTCTTTTAATGATAGCTTTCAAATATACATTTTTTTGTCATTGTCACTGGATTTATAATTGTCTACATTTTTCATTTTACAAATTTAATTTAGTGTACAAATTAATAATATATTTATATACTCTTTTGTTTTAAAATTATATGTATAATTTGTACAGCAAATATACGCAGAGAAATTGAAAAACAGTAGCATTAATAATGGTTAGCATTTTTGCAGAAGTTTTTTGTGCTTGATAGAGGGACATCTATATATGAATTGGATTTATAGTTTATCAGTAAATTTGCTTTTCAAGGCAAAAGAGATTAAATTGAAGTACATTAACATAAATGATAGACAAATACAAGATAACAAAATTAAAAACACATGTAGGTCGCAAGTCAAAGCAGCTAAGTCGAAGTACATTAACACAAACGATAAATAGAAACAAGATAATTAAATTAAAACACAAGTAGTTCAGTTATGAAGCACATAAGCATTATATTGTTGGAAACTAATTTTATGCATAATCATTGTGAAGGTTCATTTAAGTCTGCTAGCCAGTTGGGACTTTGTTCAGCTTCATAGCTTGTGACAAAGGTAAAAGTTGTTCTTTTGATTGCTTTTTCTGTTGGAGTTGCTTTCTTTACAAAGCACATGAGTCTCTTTC